GGAGGCTGTTAGTTGCTGGGGCTGCTTCCTGTCCCTCTGCATCACCAAAGCCCCAGGGAGTGGGGAGCCTTCAAGGAAGATGCTGCAATGCTGTTTGCTTCTAACCCAAAGACTCCCTTAATTGGAAATTCTGCTGGGCTTGAATTGGAGCCCGGGCCACTCCCATTCAGGGTCTCAGCTGCCTATTCTCTACTGCTTCCAGCTCTCCCCAGAGCTTCCTGTACACAGCCATCATAACTGTACATAGGAGAGGCAGGTACCAGTTTCTCATTCCAGAAGCACAGGCCAGCTGCAGGGCCTGGGGACCTCCTCGGTGACAGTGCCACACATTCAGATGCAAGGGTGCTTGCAAGGACAAGGGCAGGGAAAGTAAGAGAGCAGACAGGAGTATCTCTGCTCCACAGGGAGAGTTTGGGGAAAGCGCTCGTTACCCAGCATCCTCTGCTTTGTCTTTAAAACTGACAATGCCTTCCACTGCTCGTGCTCCGTGCCAATCAGTAGCTCCTTTCCTCCTAACTCCTCTCTGCCCTATGAGGCATGAGGATCCCACAGTCAGTCTTCTGAACCTGTTTGTATTCTGCCCACAGGTGATCCAAGATAGCCCTGGCTCCCACCTGGCACAACCATTGGAGGGACTGAGAAATGATTGGGACTGGGGTGCACGATGGGAAATTCCCAAAGAAGCAATGAAGAAACTATGTTAAAAATAATTTTTTTAAAAAAAAGGAAGGAAGGAACAAATGAATGAACGGAGAAAGGAAGAGAGAAGAAGGAAAGTGAGAAAGAGAGGGGTGGAGGGAGGGAGGGAGGGAAGAATGAATGAATATGGGTATTTGTAGGAAAACTAGCAAAGTTCAAATGAATTCTAGAGTTTTAGTGGATGATAACATGCTGATGCATGTCTGTGTGTGTTCATGCAGATACACACATGCATGCAGATGCATATACCCATGTGTGCATGTGTACAGAAGTCAGAAGACATCAAATGTTGCTTTTCAGCCAGCAGCTGCTTGGCTGCCCAGTAAGCCCCAAGAATGCATCTGTCTCCACCTCCCCAACAGTGAGAGTACAAGGGCATCATCATATCTGTATTGTTCATTTGGGGTTTTTTGTTTGTTTGTTTGTTTGTTTTGCTTTATCGTGGGTTCTAGAGATGAAACTCCCGTCCTTGTGCCCAGTCAAACACTTCATTGACTGAGCCAACCCTGTGCCTCTGGTTTGATAAATGCATTGTAATACTCTGAGAAGTCAACACTGGAGATCAGGTGGAAGGATATGGGAGCTTGTTGCACCTCACAATTTCATTTTTTTTAGATTTATTTGACTTGTAATTGTATGTGGGAGGGGTGTGTGTATGTCGGCTGACTTGAGGAGAGGACATGAGATGCCCCAGGGCTGAAATTACAGAAGGTTATGTTTCTGCCTGATCTGGGTGCTGGGAACCAGGCGTGGGTGCTGGGAACTGAACTCTGGTCCTCAGTAAGAACTGAGCCACTGAGCTACCTCCTCAACCCCTTCCTCACAACTGTTCTATAAACTTAAAATTGTCCCAACATGAAAGTTTGCTTTTTCTATAAGGGCTCCCTTTACTTCATAATAGTGTTCGTGGTTGGACAAAAAATTGAATGGTCACCTGCTCATAGGGTTGATCTGCCTCAGTCTGTCTGTGAGGCTATAACAGAACACCTCAGACTGCACAGTTTATAGCCACAGGAAGTTATTGCTCACCGTTCTGAAGACGGACAAGTTAAAACAAGTCCAGCATTAGATAAGACCATTCTCTTCCACAATGGCAGCTTGCACACTCTAGCCTTTGAAGGAGATACAGACTGGATTGTGTGATGTTAGAGGCACATGAGAGGTGGAGAACTCAGTCAGAAAGTGATTGTCACATAAACATGTGGGTCTAAGTTTGAGCTCCAGCACCCATGTAAAAAGTCAGGCATGATGGCTCATGTTTATGATCCAAGCACTGGGGAGGCAAAATCAGGAGGATCCCTGGGACTCTCTGGGCAGCCAGCAAGCTCTGGCGCCTAGTGGGAAATCCTGTTCTAAGAGGCAAGGAGGAAGGATAACTCCTAAGAAATGACACCCAAGGTTGATCTCCAGCTTCCACATGTCCTCTGTCCACATGTTTGTGTACAGGCAACACACACACTGAGGGGAGGGGGAAGCAAACACACCGTTTTCTAATGGCATTTGTTCCACCCATGAGAGCAGAGCATTCGTGACTCAAACATTTCTCAAAACTCCTACCTCTTGAGACTATTAGTACAATGTGGTGACATTTTGTTCGTGAGCTAACAAATAAAGCTTGCCTGAAGAGCAGAGTGCAGACCTTAGCCACTAGTTAGCCATAGAGACCAGGCAGTGGTGGCATACACCTTTAATCCCAGCACTTGGGAGGCAGAGGCAGAGGCAGACAGATCTCTGTGAGTTCAAGACCACCATGGGCTACACTAGATTGATCCAGTCTCGAAGAGAAACAGGGCCAGGCAGAGGTGGCTCACACCTTTAATCCCAGATTTTGCAGAGGTAAGAACTAGTGACTGGCTGCTCTGCTTCTCCGATCTTTCAGCTTTCACCCCCTGCTATCTCACTCCAAGTTTTTATTAGTGAGACTGATTAGAGATTTGCAACAGTACAGCAATTACAATTCCCCACGAGTTCAGAAGGAAGAAACATTCTAACCTTAGAGGCTTTAAGCAAAATAAAACTAAAACCGCCCTTAGTTTCTTTCCTGTGTTGCAGTACTAACCGCTACACTCGCAACCATTTGAAGTCTAAGGCTGTGCAAGTTAAAGCTTTGGAATCAGAAGGCTCGGGCTTAAGACTTCTGCTTACTTTCTTCGTGGTGTTGGGCACTGTTATGGTTTGAAACGGAAATGTCCCCACAGGCTTATGTTCTAAAGATATTTATTTATTATTTTGTGTGCATGTACAGGCACCTGAATATGTATGTACACCACATTCATACATGAGCCTGCATTGTCAGAAGGTGTCACATCCCCTGGAACTAGAATTGAAGGCAGTTGTGAGTGCTGGGAACCAAAACCAGGTCCCCTGCAAAGCAATGGACACTCTCTACTGCGAGCCACCTCTCCGACCACCATGCTCTTTAAATGCCTGTTCTCCAGCTGGTGGTACTATTTTGGAAAGTGTTGGAGGTGAGGCCTAGCTGGTAAAAGATCACTAGGTGCAGGGCATTCTTAGCTCACTTCCTGTCTCACTCCCTGCTTCAGGGTCCATGCAGGAACAGCCGAAGCCTCTACCACACACTCTGGCCACCATGAATTGTGTGACTCTACCTTCCCTCCACAACAGACTGAAACTCTCAAAGCTGGGTGAAACAAAACCAAATCTTCTCTATTTCTATCAAATAATGGCATCACCATGACACAGAAAGTGAGGAATACACTTTGTATTCTTTGAGCTCAGTTTCACATCTGTCAAACAAATCCATTGAATGTCAGTGACTATTGGCATTACTATGCCTGAACTTGGTGTTTGCACTGTCGTGGGTACTATAAAGAACCTTCCAGATTCCACCTCAGGATCCAAGGCCTTCCTCCTCACACCTTCGTCACTTGGGGAACCACAGACTGCCAGCCCTCTCCAGGGATTGACCCGGGCCGAAGAGAGTTGCCGAGCCCTCAGCCCACACTCCTTTCTGGAGAAGAGTCTACATTCTACCTAGAGGGGTTGGCCCAACTCCCTCATCCCATTAGGGATGACTTCCCTCTGCAGAGCACCCCACGTGGTTGATGGAAGTCTTTGTGGAGACCTCATTGCTGTGCAACCTCTTCTCCAGCCCCATCTGGCTTCTTCCCTTCTCCTTCATCCTAAGAGTGCTCCCCATAAACATCTTCCTGCATTTGGATCTCCATCTGAGAGTCTGCTACCAGGGGACTCACCGGGAGCACTTTGCCTGCACTGGCTTTGTGCCTCAGAACAGCCAGCCCTGTTTGTATAGAGGAGGCTCCTCAGCCTTGAGAACAAAACACAACTGACCAAAGATGGACAGCTAAGAAATGGTGACACCACGTGGTGAAACACAAACCTTCTGGGAACGTGGCTAGACAAAGCTCCTTACTGCTCTGAGCCTCGTTTAGCTCATCTGAAACAGCACAAGAAACTCCAGAAGGCGGCTAAAGGCATGGGAGGGGTCAATGTTGTTTAATACACACCGGAAGACCACATTAGAACTCCATCTGCTTTAGAACGAGAAGACATCGGGGGATGGAAAGTAGATGATTGGGGGGGTGAGCAGGGGAAAGGGCAAGCATAGCAGGCAGGCTGGATAGGTGAGCAGGGTTGAGTGACTGGATGTGTGGCCAATGGTTGGCTGGAAGTATGGTTAGGTGTGGAGGTGGCTGGATGACTGGACGGCGGCGGACCCGTTACTGCTTTTTACGATGGGCGGAGTAGTTAAGTAAATAAAGGTGATTGGGGGATGGGGGATGGATAAGCGGTCAAACAGACATGTGGGTAGTTGGATCAGTGGTTGTGTAGATGATTAGGCAGCCAGACGAGTGAAAGGGGGTGGAGAATTCACTGTGTGTGTGAAGGTGAGTGTGGTTGCGTAGATGGATGCTCACTCTGGTAGATATTAAAGAGATTGCGTGACCGGAAGTGGTTGGATGGATGGAAGCTCTGAGTGTTAGAGAAGCTGTGAAGAGATTGGAGGGATGTCTGGGTGGATGGATGGATGGATGATGGATGGATGGATGATTGAGTAAATGAGTGTATGGTGGTGTAGGTGGTTGATTGCATGTGGCATGGGTGAATGGATGACTGCTGACCAGAGAGACATGCTATTAGATGGGTTGTGTGAGAATAAGAAACGCCAAGGGCTGGGATTGGTGGGTGGCAGCCACTGGAGTGGATGGCTGAGGTACAACGTGTAGATAACTAGATGCGTGGGTGACTCGCACGGTAGAGAAATTTAGGACTAGACTTGGCTCAGATCCCCTAGGCTGCGGGTCCCACCAGGTTCTTACCTAGAAGCCGCGATCTCAGCCTTCTGGCGAGCGATGGCAGCTGCACGCTGTGCGCCCTCGACGCCATGCTCCACCTTCTGGCGTACCTTGTTGCTCTTGAGCGGCAGCACGCGGCGCTTGGTGCCCTTGACCAGCACGTTGTGGCGGTACTTGCCCTCTTCTCGGTGGCCGTCGGGCAGTGTGGTGCGGCCATAGCCGTGGCGCAGGTTGTCCAGCCACTCGCCCTCGTAGCGCAAGCCGCTGGAGCGCTCGCTCACGCCAAAGCCTGAGCGCTTGTCGTTCTTCCACTCGCCCATGTAGGTCTCAGTGGTGGTGGCGTCGATGTCAGCGTCAAAGGGCGCGGCCGCGTCGTCGGGACCCTCGGTGCCCTCGGCCAGGCTGCCGGTGGACGCGGCGTCGCTGGCGCCTGAGCTCAGCTCACTCTTAAGGAAGCTCAAGCGACTGCGCTGGCTGCCCAACGACGTGCGCGACTCTGAGCGTCGCAGCCGACCCAGTAGCGCGCCACGTGTGAACAGCCCCGCGGGACGCGCACCCTCGGCGGTGGCTAGCAGGCTGAGCGCAAAGCCACCGCGCGGTACCGGGGGCGAGGGCAGCACTGGCCCGTCCGCGGCCGGCGAGTCCGGAGCTACCGTGCCATTGCTGTGCTCGCTGCGCAGCGAAGACAGCGACGTGCGCAGCGGAGAGCGCACCACCACCGCCATCCCATAGGGCACACTTTGGCGCACACCGTAGCCATGCCGCATGCCATTGGTGAACTGGCCTTGGTAGGTCCCTGCGGGGCGAAGAGAGCTGTGTCAGTAGGTGGAAGAGGCTCGGTGATTCCCCTCCCCCATGGACAAGACTGAGTGGGGTCCAGAGAGACAAGAAACCATTGAAGGAACAAGGAATGCACACGGCTGTGCCGACCTGGAAGGTGGCCCCAGTAAGATACAGGTAGGAACCCTAGCATGTGATTTGGGTCGTGATCAAAGCAGGGTGGGGTCCAGAGGACAGTCTGGCTATAGGAGGGATAAGCATGTTGTTGTGTGTGCCTAGAAAGTGGCTTCAGGAGGCTACAGGCAGGGTCAGATGTGGGCAAGGCAGGAGGGCACCATGACAGAGCTTGGTCATCAGAGGGACAGAGTGCTTGTCCCCGTGTGTACCTGAGAATACAAGTATGTCAGAGCACATTCCAGTAGGAAGTCAGAGGGGGAGGTGTGACCACCAACACTGGTGAGTGATGCAAGTCAGAGAATAAATGTGAGCCTCTGTGATTGATTAGCCGAGGTCACGGTACTGGGTGCCGTAAAAGGAAGACGCCAGTCCAGGAGCAAACCTGCCAGAAGGAATTTGTGGAATGGAATGAACACTCCCCCTGTGAGAACATGTTAAGGTCACAGGTATGCAACCAAGCAGGAGGTGTGTGAATCAGCATGTTTCAGTGTAGCGCATCCGAGCACGTCAGGCTGGGAATTCTAGTTGAATATGTGCTCGATCCTCCCTAAGTTCGTCCCCTCCACTCTAGGCTTAGGGGCTTCTTGGGTGTTCCTCGTCTATACCAGCAGAGGTCCTCCTCAGAACCATCTCTGCGTGCCCTTCCCTCTGACCAGAACGCTCTTCCTTCAGGTCCCCGCATGGCCCACTCCTGTCCACAAGTCCTCACTCCTGCCTGATGGAGTGATGGACTGATGTCCTGCCTTCCCACGGGAGGTTTCAATCCCCGTGTTTGCTTCCGTCTTCCTCGTAACATATATAGACAACAGACCATCTTCTTTCTCCTTGGTGCATTCCCCTTGCTGGGAGGAGCTCCCCACAGGCAAGGAGTCCCATCTATTTTGTTTACTGCAGAGTCCTCAGCGCCTGGAAGAATGAGGACTAGAACCAGACACTTAACACAAATATTTTGTGCGACTGGATGGAATGTGTCTCTTCTACAACTTTTGTCCTCTTTTCGCTTTAGCTGTGAAGAAAGCCTGGGGCAAAGCTAAGGCTCGGCAAGGATGGAAGACACAGAAAATGACGTAGCTCGTGTGTCACCAGCGTTGAAGCTTCATACCTAGCGACATTGCTTCTGCTTCTCCAAAGAGGAGGGGGCTCAGCAGGCAGCAGGGAAATGGGTGTGAACCGGGCAGCGACGCTGGGAAATGGGGGCAGAGAGGAGATCTAACCTCCAGCTTGGAGAGGTCTGTGAAATGGAATCCGGCAACCTACCTGCAACTAAAATTTGGCCTGAGACGAGCTGACAGGGTCCCTTTAAGCCCAAGAAAACCTGAGACTGCGACAGAAAACGGCTCTTGGCCACCAGTTGGGAATGAAGCAGTATGGCTATATTAGGAAACTTACAGACATGTAGTATGAGCCACCAACACCCAGGGGAGATTGATAGTGACAGGGCCCTGGGAAGGAGGATAACACTATGGAAGGGCCATCTCCCTGTGTGTCTAAGGCAGGGCGGTTCTCTCTGGGGACAGGAGGCCCACATCTGCAGACAGAAGCTTCCCAACAGCTATGTGGCTGACAGTGCCCTGGGCCAGAGTGCCCCCTCAGCTGCCTGGCCAATCCTTGTCGGGCATCCCATTGTTCTAGCGGGCCCACCGAGGTCCCCAGCAGCCACACAGCCCAGCATGGCCACCTCAGTTTACCTTGTTCTCTAGCCACTTTTCTTCCTACCTCACACCTTTGCCTGTACTTCTTTTTATTTTTCTTTTGGTTTTGTTGCTGTTGTCATTGTTTGCTATAAGGTCTTACTTACTATACAGACCAGGTTGGCTTTGAACTCGCAGAGATCTGCCTCCCAAATGCTGAGGTTAAAGGCAGTGTGCCACCATGCCTAGCAATGTTGGGGGTGAGTATTTATATTTTGTGCATATGAGTTTTATTACCTGCATGTATGCTGTGCGCCATGTGCATGCTGTGCCCACAGAGGCCAGAAGAGGGCATCAAACCCCCTGGGGCTGGAGTTACAGAGGACTGTGAGCCACCACGTGGGTACTAAGAATCAAACACTGGTCCTCTGGAAAAGCAGCCAGTGCACTTAACCGCCAACTCTCCAGACTTCTTTTGTTTTTTAAGACAGGCTCTTGCACTATTGCCTAAGCAGTCTTGGAGCTCACTATACAGCCCAGACTAGCTTCAAACTTCTGGCAATTCTCCTGCCTCAGCCTCCAAATTGCTGAGGTTACAGCCATTTGTTCTTTCTTGGCCTTCTCTTCTCCTCCCTCTCCCAAATCCATCTTTGATATTTCAAACTTGAACTTACATGTGAAATCATCCAGGGAGAGTTCTGGAACCCCTTCCTCAAATGTCACCCAAGACACCCTCATCGCCTTCTTAAGGCTCTCCCCCAGTGCCGGGAAATAAACATGGTGATTGGTTCCCTGTAAGCCTTTCCTCCCCTGTAGGGCTCCAGCTTCCAGACAGAAAGGAACAGCGTCGAGATCATTCCCACTACGGACTCAGCATCCTGCATAGTTCCCAGGTCCAAAGAGGCCACTGGCAAGCAGCTGATATCCAACTCTGTTTTCCTGACCACACTGTTAGGCTGGCCTAGGAACAGGGCCCACATTCCACTTTTTTCTCAAACCAGGAAGAAAGAGGTACTATAAGCAGCTCTATATTAGCTCTAGATTCAGCAGTACGAATCCTGGGAATAATGGGCGACCTGGGAAATATGGTCATGGCCATAACCGTGGTGCATGTCTCTCTCCCAGGCAGACCGAGCCTGCTCATCGCCCTCTCCCTGCCGTTGCTCTTCTCACATAGTTTGGAATAGTATGGATTCCAGCCTGAGCCTCATGTTAAGAGGTTCTGAAACCCACCTTAGTTACTTAAGCCTGCAGAGCCCATTTCTGTCCCTCTGTGAAGCAGAAGTGATGAGACTTGCTTTACTGACTGCCCCTGAGTATTTGTACAGGGCCATGAACTCATCATTCCAGATACCAGAGATCCAGCGGTGACCGAAATAGACATTGTCTCTGTCCATGAGAGTGTGGACTCCAGTGTCAGGGATGGATCAGAACCTTCTGGCCTGGGATTCAACTGGTCACTCACACACACACAGACACACACACACATGCGCGCGTGCACACACACACACACAGCAGTGGTCCAGGGGAGAGGTGAGACCCAAAGTCTAGCTATAGAGTGGAAGGCAGTTGACTGAAGGCTAGAGGAGGCGTGTAGGAGGCAGCTGGCAGAGATGGCACCCAGGGAGTACTCTGTAGGGGCTGGAGGGCAGGAAGCGTCCCTTGAACACTAGATCTTTGTGCCCCCTGTGCTGGGGATGGAACCCAGGTCATGTGTTGCCAGTCGCATGCTCTAGCACTGAGCTACCCCTTCCCTGCAAAGGCCAGCTTTTTGGCAGGTCAGAGTCTTTGCTCAGAAATGCTGGCCCAGAAAGGATTAACTGTAAAGATGAGCCAGAGCCAGGAAGGACAGAGAGAACCCAGGAAGAGATGGAGGCCAGCTCGGGTTTTCTGCCTTCCCGTGGTCTCACATAGGAAAGCTTGTGCTCCATTCCCAGCACTGGGTCTCTGCTCTCGCTGTTCCTTCTGCCAGGCACAGCATGGGTCCCTTGTCTGGATAGCTCCTCTTCCTTCTGATGTCCGCACACGCTCCATTTTCTGAGGACCTTTCTCCAGTCACTAAACCCCCATGTCCTTCCACTTTCCTTTTAGGTTGCTTTTCGCTCTTGAACACAGCCACGGTTGAACTCAGATCTACTTAGAACCCATGTTCTTACTGGCAAGGCCACATGTGCATGTCCACATACATGCCCAGCACACAGCACAATGACTACATATAGAAAACACACAGCAGATACTGCCAAGTGGATTGAAGGCCAAGTGGCCTTAGATGAAACTCTGAATTCCTTATTAAGACGGTGATAGACCTTCTCAGGGCTCCTGAGAGTCTTATAATGGTCACTGTAGAGATTCCACCTCTCAACAAATGTGGACTGCCCTTACTCCACAGAAAATACACAATTTGAATCTATAGTGTCCCCCTGAAGGCTTGTGTTTTGGGCATTTGGTCCCCAGTGTAGGGCTGTTGGGGAGCGGGGAGCCATTAGGATGTGAGTCAAGCCCAGCCGGCAGAAGCATGTCACTAGGTTCAGGGCTTGCGGCTTACACCAGGCTCCCTAGTTCCTACTCTCTGCTTCACGACCCACTGAGAAGTTAGGAGTCTCTGCCACTCTGAACTCCACTGTGCCTTGTCCACGATGATGGTGGAACCCTCTGAGACCATGAGCCAAAGCAAACCTTCCATCCTTAGGTTGTCTCCTGGGTATTTTATCATAGCAATGAGAAAAGTAATTGAGAGAGAAAATGACTGAGACAGAAGGATCCCTCAGAGGTGACACGCCCTGCTAACACCAAGACAGTTCCAAGCAAGCCGAGAGGGCTGGTGACCCTAACTCTGGGTGACAAGGGCGCTGACTTTGATTTGCTTGTGAGCCAACTCTTTAGGAAAAGCAAACACACTTTGATTTGAGCCATTTGTCAGTTGCTAAGGTGTAAATACTCCCTCTGTGGCTGGTCAAGCTACCCAGGGTGGAACAGTTACTTTGAAAATTTCCTAAAACCATGCCCAGGGGCTCTCCCAAGCCAGTAAAAGCTGGCTCGGTGCCCATATTTAATATGCGATCTTGGGTGCATGGTTTCTGCAAATATTGCCACCCGCACAGCTACAGACAACCTGATGGACATAAGAGTCTCTGAAAGTCCTGACTGGAGTGAAACTTGGGGAGTCGGTCATCTTGACTAAGGACGCAATCTACCTGGCCACCTCTGT